CTAAATATCCTCTCTGATTTGTGATGGCTGATCTCAAATATGGATGGCTTAGTTTTACTTTCTCCATCACCGTACATATCACCTAAAACAATTCTAGATCAAGTTGAACTTTAGCATGATTGGGACTGTCCGAGGCCCTAGAGGCCATAAAAAGGGTCATTCTTCCCCTTTTGTTATTCACACCATACCTCTCTCTTCTCTCTTCTCTCTTTATCTTTTTTTTTTTCTTTTTCTTTTTTTAACAATATTCGAATTTTTTATTGATATAATGGAAACTACAACCAAGAGAGTTATAATAAAGATATTGCATTATAAAAAATAACCAAAGAGGTAAGTGATACCCCCATTTTTCCAAAGCATTAGCTAAATCATTAGCCTCCCAATTAAAGGTGTTGAAAAGAGACTCTCGAATTATTTGTCAGATCCACAATCTGTAGCCAGCAATGACGCAGTTGCCAAGGCACCCATTGTTCCTTCTTACACTATTGAATAGTGGTTAAGGAGTCTCCCTCCATCACATGATTGCCCCACCATTATCTTCTTGACTAGTTTCAAACCTTGCAATAAAGATGGTCATCTCAGACTCATTAGCCATAGCATTTCCACAAGGTCCAGTATAACAAAAATTAACATTTTCCTCACCACACCCCCCAATCCAGCATCTCATAGGTTGCCAAATGAGCTTCCATGAAAATTAAGTTTGTAGCATCCTTGTAATGGTGGTTCCCATATGTACTTGGGCCTACATTTCACCACCGCTCATCTTAAACAAATTCGAAAGATTCAAAAGGATATCGATCTCCGACACACACTGACCTTCTTTCGTGATAGATAGTCATGTCTATAAGGTGTGTTTGATATTATTAATAATCCTCTCAAAAGACAATGAATACCTTTCAAAAGTTCTACGATTTATTTCTTTCCATATTTCCCATAAGATTGCTCCTCTAAGAATCATCGTTATCGTCTTACCTAGCTTAGGCAATCTCACTAATGAGAATTGTGTAATAATGCCTAACACATTAGAAGGCATAACCCATAGATTACCTAATTGCTAAAAACACCAATTCCACATTCTAGAAGTAAAATGGCAATGAAGAAAAATATGAGATCATGATTCCCCATTACTTTTGTACATCAAGTAGACACTCGGTAGAACCTTTCCCCTTTTAATAAGGTTATCTATTATAAATATTTTATCTTGTAAAGCCAACTATATAAAAGCTTTAACCTTATGGGGAATAGGCCACTTCCATATTTTAGATAAATTGGGATCTGACCATCTCCAACGATCATTGAAGATAATTCTATAGACTGATTTCATAAAAAACTATCTATCATTTTCCAATTCCCAAACTATTTCATCCATCTCAACATCTGAAATGTACATCAAAGTCAAACTCTGCATTAAGGAGAGAAACTTATTAAAATTCCCAACAGGAACTCTATTATAAGGGAGATTACTATTCCAAACCAGTTGACCACTCGGTCTCTCAACCAACTCTGACACCTTAACTTGTGAGCAAGAGACTTTTCAAAGAGATCCAAGCAATGTAATTTTAACGATATGTCCCCCAACCTCTTATCATGTCAAAAGAAAACGTCATCTCCTCTTCCAACCACCCATTTCATATTCTTTCAATTATCTGTATGTTGAATAAATGATTATCCACATAAAAGAAGTATTTGAGCTTCCTTTACCTCGTCTAATCCAAGGACCATGCATGTCCACCTCATACTTGCCAATTAAGATCCTACACCATAGCTTATCCTAATGATGAATACTCCTCCACTACCATTTTGACAAGAGGGTTGTGTTAACCAAGAATACATTCTTAATCCCAATACCACCCTCACCTTTTGGTATGCACGCTTTTTTCCACCTCAGTAAATAGAATTTTTTCTTTTCATCAAAATAGCCCCATAGAAAGTTGCACATCATATATTTAATTCTCTTGGCTACTACACACGTCATCTGCAACATCGACATTAAATAAATGGGTAAATTAGCTAAGCGAGCCATAATTAGTGTAATCTTACCTGCCAAAAAAAGATACTTCGGTTTTCAAATGTCCAACTTACATTTAATTCTTTCAATTACTTTATCTCAAGCAGAGACGGAGAGCCTCAAATAGAAATAGACATGCCAAGATAGGTAAAAAGGAAAGAGTCAACTCTATAACCAAACATGCTGCCAATGATGCCACTAAACTGTCGTCACACCCCACCTCAATTAATGAAGTCTTATAGAAATTCACCTTAAGACCCAAAGCCGTATCACAACATATAAAAAAGTAATATCTATTGGTTAACTGGGACGAACCAGCCTTACCAAAAAAACAATTTTGGATGCCATTAATTAGAAAAAAAAAAGTTGAACTATAGAAAGACATCCCCAAATCCAATATCTCCATTTCGAACCAAAACCCATTATATTCATTATCTCATGAAGTACTTTCTATTCCACCCTATCGTAAGCCTTTTCCATATCCAATTTGATAATCACCCCAAGTTCATCACTCTTATGCCTATAATGAATATACTCATGAGCAACCAACACACTGTTAATAATAAGTCTATCTTGAATAAAACCCGATTGTGATCCTGAAATCACTAAGTGAAAAACAACCTTGAGTCTTCCAGCAAGCAACTTTTATCCCAATCTTATAGATACTAGCGAGTAAATTGATAGGTCTAATATCACTAAGACTAACAATGACTTATTTCTTAGGAATTAAGGAAATATAAGTAGAATTAATTTCTTTAATGATATCACCTTTGTCTAAAAACTATTCGACCATGTCAATAAGCTCTCCACTAACCACGCTCTAAAACCTTTAGAAAATAATAAAGGAAAACCATATGGACTTGGCTTCCAGAGAGTGAAAACACTGCCACTTTAAGTTCAAACATAGTAACTTCAACTTCCAATTACTCGGTAATACGACATGGTAGAGCCTTAAAATGTAATCCTCCTGTGTTAGGCTCAAAATGTAATCCTCTCGTGAAAGCTTTGTTAAAGTGCTCAATAATAACACTTTATAGGAAATCCCTATTTCATTCATCCACACTAGAATTTGTCAGTCCTGATATATCATCATATAATCTTTTAGCATTGACACTAGCATGAAAGAATTTAGTATTCAAATCCACATCTTTAAACCATTTAACTCTCGCTCTTTATTTTCAGTAGACCTTCTCCAACCTAATGAACTCTTGCAAACCTCTCCACACCCTCTCTGATTCTCTCTCTCCTCTCTCTCTCTATCTCTCTCTTTCTCTCAAGTAGGTGGCAAGCCACCCCCATAAGTATTGGGGTGGTGCACACCTCAAAAGAGGAGTATAGGAGAGAGCGCGCCTTGCTATGGGTTTAGGGGTGTGTTTGATAACAGTGCAAACTTGAGAAAATCTCAAACTTTCCCCTGCATTGTAACTTTTTCTAATTTGGGAATAGTAAAACTGGGGAAAGTCGAAACTCTTTATTTCCCATTTTACACTTCCCATCCCGTTTGGTTCATTGTAAATGGGTTTATGGGATACATACCTCTATAGAAATGACCCATAAATGCTGTTTGGATGTCCTCCCAAGGCAAGAGACCCATTTCGTTATGGAGTCTGATTTCCAAATTTTAAGTCTTTTTTTGTGAAAATGTCAATTCCACCAAAATGGGTGGAATTCACATTTTCGAGAGATTGAAAGAGAGTTACAGGCCAAAAATACTTATTGTAATTTATATTTTATAGAGTGGGTTGAAGATATATTTTTGAATAATCCCAATAATGTTTTACACCAAAGTTACATGTTATGATAAAATTTGAAGGTGCGTCTTAATTGGATTGTTTAAGGTTGCATCCTTATAGAAACCACACCCTATAATTAATTATATATTACAATATATATATAAATATTTTATATATTATAATATTAATTATTATGTAAAAAATAAATTAATATACATAATATTATATAATATTACAATACTATATAATTACTTATATGTTACTATATTGGTATATTATAATATATAATACAATAATTACTTATATAACTTTATAAATAATTGGCATATTATAATATATAATAAAATAATTAAACATATTTAATATT